GAATATGCAACAAGTGTATGGTTTTAAGGGTGATTCCTTTGCTCACAAGGCATGCTTGTCATGACTTAAGTTCCCAAGAGCATCCAGACATCCGTAATTCTTTGCTTTTTATTATCTTGTAATTGTCCTAACTCTAAATTTCATTACTCTAATTGTATGACTATTTTTATAACCACTTTATTAGTATTAAACTTTTAAAATTTTAAAACCCAAGCGCCTGGCGCTTTTCACAGCAGGTGAGGCAGAGCTGGCTGCTGTCTCAGCTGGGAGCCAGACTCGCCCTGCTGCAGGCCAGGCTGGTTCTCTGCTTCCCAGGAGGAAACTCCTGCAGGAATTGCCATCCCCCAGTGCTCCTTCTACTCTGCTGGCACCAACACAGAAAGTGCACAGAGGTCCCCTGAGGTAAAAGGCATCCTCAGGTAAAAGCTGAGCCACGCTGGGCCAGGAAAATCTTTTCCACAAGTCAAGGACAGCCCTGCAGAAATGTCAGAGGAACTGCCCAGAACTGCCCTCACAGCTGCTCGCTGTTTTTTTCTGGCCACGACCTGAGCAAGGCACAGAACCTGGGAGAGAATCACAGAGTCCAAGGGAAGGGACCCACAAGGACCATCAAAGTCCAGCCTCTGGCCCTGCACAGCCCCAAAATCCCACCCTGGGCATCCCTGCCCAAACCCTCCTGGAGCTCTGGCAGCCTTGGGGCCCAGCCTGGGCAGTGCCAGCCCCCTCTGGGATAAGAAACTTTCCTAAAATCCAACTTAAACCTCCCTGCACAGCTTGATTTATCTCAAGGAAGGCTGAAACGCACGGCAGCAGTTTTGCAAGGCTGAGTGTGTGACAGCAGCTGCTGTAAGGACAGCTATTGTGAAGTGCAAGCAGCACCAAAGCTGGCAATTTCCACAGCTCAGGAATTCAGTCCTGGCCCACGGGAGGGAGCTGCTCCCCGGCACATGGCACATCACTGTCCCCACATGCTGATTTTGGGTATTAATGCCACCACAAACCCGTCCTGGCTGCACAGAGCAGCTGGGGCAGAGCAAGGCGAAAGTGCCATCAGGCAGTGACAACAAAAAACCCCCATAAATATAATCTTTTAATCGTGCTGAAGAAATCCCAGTGATTTTACCAGATTTGACAGAAAATTCTCATGCTAACAAATCTCCAGTGACAAAAAGGCAATGGATGAAACAACAATGGGTACAGCTCAGACAGGACAGGACATAGAGCGAGCCACCACCAGGCAGGGGATGGACACAGAACTGAGGGCAGGATGGGGATAAAATCAAATTTTCCCTACAAACCTGTGGTTGGTGAGCCCAGAACTGAGGCAGGGGATGGACACAGGACTGAGGACAGGATGGGGATAAAATCAAGTTTTCCCTACAAACCTGTGGTTGGTGAGCCCAGCACTGAGGCAGGGGCTGGTGGCAGCACCTCTGTCCCCACCCTGGGCACTCAGTTCACTGTTTAGGAGCTTTCGCTTTATCAAAAGATCATGAAAACCGAGCAGCAGGTCACATGGAGCAGCAGCACACACAGCTTCTCCTGTTTACAGTCAATATTCGGTGTCTTGCAGCAAAACACAGGAAGGAGCAGCAGGAGGGGGAGGCTGGTCCTGCAGGAAATCAGCATCACTGAACCCCAGCTTGGCAGTGTCACTGAGAAACCCAAAATGAGCCCCCCTGCAGTGCCAGTCCCTGTTTTGTGAGGGGCACGAAAATGGTTTTTGTGTCAGGACACTCAGACAGGTGAAACCTTTCGAGGAAAAAACAGAGCCTGGCATTCAGCAGCAGAGTGCTAAAGAGATTTCCAGTACAGCTGAGACCGAGAGTTCATTTCCATAATGCTCTGTTGTTGTCATTAATGAACGTGCTAATGATCTCTTAATTCTTCATTTAGACTGCTAATTGCTGATTGGGACATTTGGGAATAGAGCTGAACTGATTTAGACCAGCTTCCAGTCTGGCCTGGGCTTCTGAAGGTTGCACCTGGGAGGAACATCCCTGCTCCAGGTGATGGAGAACCCAAACTCAATGGTTGTTCCCAAATTCACAACTCCAGGGGATGGGGGAAGGCACAGGGAGCTGTGAGTATGGCAATTTCCCCTTAAAAAAACAGCCACGTGCCCACCACATTTCATTTAAAACAGCAGAAGGCAGGAGAGGAATATCACAAAAGGATAAATGGAGAGATCCAGCTGCTGCACCCATCACACAGCAGCAAAATATAAATATATAAATATATGGATTCCTTTACAAAACAAATGCCCTAGAGGAAAAGTTTCTAATCAGTGATCCCAGATTCCTAAAGATAAAACTGGATTGAACAAATGCCCTAGAGGAAAAGTTTCCAATCAGTGATCCCAGATTCCTAAAGATAAAATTGGATTGCTTCAAAGAGTCCATAAGCAAAGTCAAGCAAAATGTGCTGCTTGCCAGTAGCTCAAATCAGATTCATGTCACTGCTAAAAAACAATTCCAGGCCCAAGAGGAACAGGGCTGAAATCCACTGTTCTAAGGAATTCCAGCCATAATAAGCTTTAATCTCCAGTTAATTCCCAACAACTCCCTATTGCACTGAACTCTCTGACAAATGGCATTTATTTCAGTTCCCTTTTAGCCAGGGCAATGTGCATTAGTTGATACTTATTAATTTTAAATAAGAGCATTAAAAGGTTGTTGATTTTTTTTTTTTTGGCTGTTTTTGCTGTTGCATTTTAATAGTTTCTTGTGTTTTGCTAGAAACAAAACTTGGAGGCTGCACAAACAGCACTGAGGCCAAATGCAACATGCTCCAGGTAACGTTCAGCACGTATTTTAGATATAATTTAATTACCTGAAAAATAATTTTATTACTGTTTCATTGTGCTTTTATGTAAATAAATACCCAGGAGCCACAAATACACATCCCACTACTCGTGGGAAGTGGGTCCTTTTGGAGTTAACACTGCTTTCTTCCCTTCCTGGCACAGGTAGGAATGGATTTGCAAAACCATCTTTCAATAAATAAAGGTTTGGAGTTTGGTTACACAAACCTGTGCAGGGTCACAGGTGAAAAAATCTCCACTTGGGGAGCATGGAGAGAAGATGGGAGAGAGGGGAAGAGGAAAGAATCACCCAGAGCAGTTTTTATTTGACTTTTGTCCCACTGGTGGTTGACCTGCCCTGATCTTCCTCCTCTCCTGTGTCCTGCTTCAGAGCAAAGGGGTGAGAAAAAGCAGCTGCAGGCAGGCAGGAATATTTGCAAATAAAACATTTACAACCTTCACCTGCTGTCCTTTTTCATCAGCACTTTCTGTGCTTCTAGCCTGCTCTTCCCTCTGGCAAAACAGGAGTTAAAAATCAGCATTTCAAAGGAGATTTTTGTTCAAAATTCCAGAGATTCTTTCTGATCATGTGAACAAACTGTGCTGAGGGTCTCCTTTTCCCTCGCCTCCCCCAGCACTTCTGTGCTGCTCTGCTGTCTTCAAAAATGCAGTAAATTCAGTTAACACAGAAAGGACTCATCTTCCTGCTGCCCCATCCTTCTCTGAGGCTCCCAGAGTGAAGTGACCCGTGACATTCAGCTTTCACAGAAAGAACAGAATAGTTACTGGTCCTTGCTCAGAAAAAAAAACAAACAACCCAACAAAACAGCTTAAACTCAAAATCTCTTTCTATTTAGTAAACATTTCACAGTTCATATTGGATTTACACCTTTTTTTTTAGCTTCTGACTCATTATTTTTGAATTATTAAGGATGAGAATATTGTCTGTTCACAGCACCTTTCCCTTTTAAAAGCTGTGAAGAACCCGAAATTCAGATTGTAAACTCCTCTGGGAGGAAAGCAGCCTCTTCCAGGGGTGTGTGCTGTGTATAGCTGATATTCAGGAAAAGCTTTAATTTCTCAATTCTGCCTTCACAATTGTATTCTACTGCTGTGAGGAAAGCAGTAAAAAATCCTGCCCTTGTATTTTAGCATGAAGAACAGGCACTCTTCACTTCCACAGAATTTAAAATCAAAGTAAAAAGCTCTATTTATACTGACCTGGTAAAAAAAAAGTAGCTCAGGAAAGAATTTTCCTGGCTCCTTTTCCAATGGTCTGTGCACTCCCATTGCATAAAGTCCAGGACACAGGAAAGGGTTTATAGCCAATAAATCCTGCATTCCTGCACAAAGTCTGTGTGACATGGACACATTTGGGCAGATGCTGGATAATCTATTTGTCCCTTTTCACTTTGGTGCCTGTGATTCTCTGTACCTGGCATAAAAAACTGCCTAGAAGGGACTTTTTTTGGTTAAAATTAAAGAGCTAGATATTTTCCATATCTAATGTTCACAGTTCTAAAGAGCTCCTAAATATTAGGAAAACAATTGACTGGCCATAGGAATTAATCAGACTTCTAAAGAGTCATCTATGAAAAAAATAATCATTAAAATCAAGCTGGAGAGGCAGCATTTCCACAGGCAGAGGCCTGTGGAGAAATGAGATAACCATGTCCTTGTGGCCTGGCTGAATTAGGAGGCTGTGCCAAAACCTCTGGAGGTGAGAGGTGCTTGGTGAGAAGATATTCATTAAGATATTTTCCTGCGTGTTTAGATTTGATTTCTCTATCTGAGATTCAGGGAGGTTGAATATTCAAGCACTGGCCAGCAAAGAGCAAACAGTCCCTGGCAGCCATTCCTTGGCAAACACAAGGGGGTGGTGATGGAAAGCGATGCCACAATGAGGGATGAGAAATTAGTTGCCTCATTCTTCAGCTGGACAGGACATCCAGGCTACTCCAAAACCCCACTCCATCCTCAAGGACAGGGTGGCAAAAAAAGATTTGATCACAAGCTAAGAGTGGAACTGAGACGCAGGAAGCTCCAGAGAGGAGCCGTGAGATGAACTATGCAAAGTAAAGATCTGCAGATTGGCCACAATCAAGTTGAGAAGTGCCTTCATTCAGCACCTCCCATGGAATCACCACGCTGGCAGGTCAATCCAGAGAGATTTCCCAGTGCCAGTGTGCTGGCTCCACCCTGGCCCGCTACCTGAGCACGCACGGATCAGCCCCACAGACACACGACACGTTCCAATCTCTCTCTCTTTCCACGCTAGTTCTTGGAAGCGCCGTGCGTGCCCAGGGCAAAGTCCACGGCCTGGTGCACGCTGTGGAAGAGCAGGTGGTCCTCCCCCTGCTTGAAGAGCTCCCCTCGGAGCAGGGAGCTCCTGACGGAAGGGCTGCACTGGGCCAGCAGCACCTGGACCCCGATGTCCCCGTAGTCCTTGCAGACCTCCTTGAGCGCGCGGATCCCGGCCGTGTCCAGGAACTGCACGGCGCAGCAGTCGATCACTATGGTGTGAAACCCCGCAGGATCCGACCCAAAATCCCTGGGGATGCTGCTCTGCTTGGCCCCAGACTCAACCTCCTTCTCCTTCAGCATCCTTTTCTCTGCTTTCTTCTTGGCAGCCTTCACCCACACGGGGTTAACCCCGGTTTGCTTGTAGAGGGTGGATTTGAAGCACTCCTTGTTGATGTAGTAGATGGGGGCCTCAAAGCGGAGCACCACGACCCCAGGCTTGGTTTGCAGGTTCTTGTAGGCGGAGAGGGACTCGTAGGTCTCCGACTCGGCCACCCAGCCCAGCAGCGGCGCCTCCGGCCGCTGCGTGCGGAAGATGACGCAGAGCATGGAGAAGCAAACCCCCACCAGGAGCCCGATCTCGGTGCTGATGAGCGCCGTGGCCGCCATGGTGACCCCCCAGATCACCGTGTCCACCCTGCTCAGGTGCCACATCTTGGGCAGGTCCCTGAACTTGCGCAGGGCCCCGCGGAGGCTGGCGATGGTTATGACGGCGAGGACGCACTTCTGCAGCGAGTAAAACAAAGGCGCGATCACCAGGAGGACCAGGAGGATCACCAGGCTGGTCACCATGCCGGACACCTGGGTCCTACAGCCCGTGGACTCCTTGACCAGGGTCTTGGCGAGAGCTGCGCTGGTTGTGAAGCAGTGGAAGAAGGAGGGGATGATGTTGCAGAAGCCGATGGCGTACATCTCTTGGTTGGCCCTCACGGAGTAGCCGTGCTTCTTGGCAAACATCTCCGACAGGGACACGGTGATGGCAAAGCCAATGATGGCAATGGGGATGGCATCCAACGCCACGCTGGGGATCAGGGTCCAGACTGGAGGGCGCGGCGGCAGAAACCCGGTGGGGATGTGCCCAGAAATGCTGGAGCCGTAGTTCTCCCTCAGCTTCCCAAAGTGAGATGCCAGAGTGGCTGCCACAACCACAAAGAGCTCCACCGGAACCGGAGCCTTGAGCTTGGATTTGAAGCGCTCGTTCAGCTCCTTGCCTGGGATGAGCACCAGGAAGCACAAGAAGCTGGTGATGAGGTCACAGACGTTGGTCCTGTGGATGCTCCTGAAGATGTTGATCCAGGTGGTGATGATGGAGCCGACGCCCCCGCTCCGAGGAAGCTCCAGGCCCAGCAGGTACTTGACTTGTGAGGTCAGGACAGTGATGGAGGCCCCTGTGACAAACCCACTCAGCAGCGAGTCCGAGAGGTAGACGGAGACAAAGCCCACTTGGAAGAAACCCATGGCCACCTGGAAGGAACCAAGCACACACCACGTGTCAGGACACAGATCCCACAGATTTTGTCAGCTGGATAAAGACACCCAACACTGTGCACGGCCCTGCAGGATGAGGCGTGGTCTGAGCAGGGAGAAAAGTCTCCAGTACTCAAACCAGGCTTTTTGGGGGTCTTCATCCCCTGAACAAATGTTTATTGTTTGCTCTGCTAATTACCCTGGTGGGGAAAAAAGAAAAAAAAAGAAAAGCTAGGGAGAAAAAAAACCAAACCCCACATTTGAAATACTGTCTGTATTTGCCATTTCTTTTTCTGTTCCTCTAAACTCTGTGAACTTTGCAAGGATCTAAAACTTTCCTGGTGGCCTGTGCCTGCCTTGCACTGGAGTTCAGAGCCTGCAATAAAGCCACATCTTGTGGGGTGACAACTGTCCTTTGCACTGCAGAAAGTCTGGGGCCTCTGACTCAGAAACCCTGGGAGCTACAAACTCCTCTGCTGCAGATCATAAAAACAGAGATAAGTGGGAACTCCATAAGAATCTCAATTACTGAAGATAAGGCAGGTTTGCAACCTGGACTGGCTGAAATCAGCTCACAGCTCTCAAAAAGTCTCCCTTACAGCCTTGATAATTAATTCAAGGTTGTTCTAAGTGTAAAACATCAATAATAATTAGCTTACCTAGTTAGTATTAACTTGTGTGAGAAGATTTTCTTTTTATGATTTGATTGTAAAATTTCTGATACAAAGAATATGTGATTTTGGTTGAAAAAAAGCCATAATTGAGGGTGTTGGCCTGTAGAGAATCTGCCTAATATTCAGAGGGACTGAAGATAAACTGATCTGATTTCTTCAGATAAAGAAACTTAATTGTATTTGTACTTGCAAAGACTATTAAATGCAATTAACAACTCCAAAACTGCACCCATCCCACAGGGATGAAAGATGAAACCCAAAATCCAGAATTGCCTGGGAGGCCCAGAATATTTCTGAAATCACTCAACAGGAACTCAGTACAAAAAGGTCACATGTTGTGCCCAAAACCTGTGTTTTAAAGTATCACAAACATGTTTTGTTCCCCTCCTGTATATTTTGATTGGCTGTCACCCTGGACAGATGAGAACAAATGAATGTGAACTCACAAACTCAAATACCACAGCTCTGCAGTACAGCTAAAAATAATCCCATTCTGGTTAATGTATAAGACTCTAAAAACAAGGAAAGGATACCTGCTTTAATATAGGCAAGCATTGAATTCTAGAAAATAAGTAGAGGTAGTTTACATATTTTCTTCTTGTTATATGCTATATAGTATTTTATATAAAATAGAATATATTATATTCAAATATATAATATTTGAATATTCTTCTATATAATATTCTAATATATTAGAATATTAGAAGAAAATATGTAAACTATCTAAAACTAGAAAAATTTGACAGATATGTACAATAACCCTTACCAACCAATGAAGTGAGTTTCACTAGATTACTAAACAATTACATTCAAACACAGTAGCTTCTAATACCATAAAGAAATGAGCTTTCCATAATAAAAAATTTAATATTCTGAACAAAACCCCAGATGTCTAGTCTCATTTCCATCTCTAAAACAAGGCCAATAGCTCCAGCTCTTATGTCCCACTGCGGCCAGCACATTTCTCTCCCTCTCAGGATTTTTCATAGAGGTGCACGGAGAGAAATGAAAGAGAAAACAATTTCTATTTCTGCTCCTTGTTTTTCCCATGTGGAATGTGTTTGGAGAATTGTTTCCCTGGGGTGTTGCTTGGTTGGATTCTGGTGAGGATTGTTTAAGCCTGGGGCTGGGCTCTCAGAGGGGGTCACGAGTTGTGTTAGAGTCAGAGAAAGTAGTTTGTAGTTTAGGATCCTCCTTTTATATAGCATATTAATGTATTTTGTCATAGTTATAATAAATAAATCATTCAGCCTTCTGAATTGAGTTAGACTCTTCATTTCTTCCCATTGGGTTCACCTGCATTTACAATATCCCACCTACCTACCACTGTGCCCATTAAGAGTTTCCCACTTCTGTGCATTATTTTGACCAGGTGCAATTCCCTTGTAAAACCAGTTTTGCAAAAGCATGCAGTGCTTTTTTTCTCAGCCTGTCACTGGCTGCAAAAAAGCCACTTTTTAAGGAACAAACCTTTACAGGCAGGCGAAATCACTGCGCTAAATACCAAAACACAACCCAGGAGAGAGAGGCAGAGCAGCCGCCCTTACCTGGTACACGCCGGAGATGAAGGTGATGGTGGCGGCCACGGCCATGGCGTAGCAGCCCCTGTCACAGGGCAGCTCTGTCCCATTTCTGGTGCCATTCCCGAGCCCTCCCAGGCCTGGCACGGCGCTGGGCACAGCTGGCTCCAGCTGGTAGCCAGCCCTCTCCACCTCCCTGTCCACCACCTGCCCCAGCATCAGGCACACCACGCCGAAGATGCTGACGGAGATGTGGCGGGACGTGCCGAAGATGCAGTAAATGATGCAGGAGAAAAAGGAGGTGTAAAGGCCATAAATGGGCTCCAGCCCTGCCAACAGGGAGTAGGCAATGGATTGGGGGACCAGCAGGACCCCCACGATCACACCAGACATTAAATCCCCCAGGAGATACTCCCTGAGTTTGTATTTAGGGAGCCACTGTAAGATGGGGAAAAACCCCAAAACGTAATCTTTAATTTTGGCCGGGGTGCAGCTGCATGTTTCCTTTGCTTGCTTAACCAGCAGAGCCTTCATGTTCTTCTTCTTCTCTTGGGGTTCCAGGAACATTGTGTGATGGAAACTGCACTTGGCATCATCTCCTTCTGGCCCTTCCATCACTGCATGGATATGGTTGGTCTCTGTCATCGCTGCCATCACCAGGACTTGCTGAAAACACAAAGGAAGAGCATTAAATCAAAAATGAATGCACGGTGTGAGGCTTGAACACAGCATTTATGAAAAGCAAGGGCTGAAACTGTCAGTTCAGCAGAGAGAAAGCAATTTCCAAGCAAACTGGGAACCTCTCAGCTCGCTTGGGAATTGAGAAAATGGGATTTTCTCAAGGGAGCTTCCTCACTGTATCCCTGTGAGGCAAGGAATGACCTTTCCCAGGAGGGAAGCTGATATCCTGTGGAATATCCTGCTGCTGGCAGGGTTGGGAAATGGGCAGGAATGCAGCAGCATTGCCTTTCTGAGAGGCTTCCCTGAGAAAATCTCTGCCTGCAGCCTGTTCCACCTTGCAAAGCCAGACAGAGGGGTTATTGTAGTGCCACAGCCACTCCAGCTGCTGAAAATTAACTGCAAGTGGGACATTGCCAGCGAAGCACAGCTTGGTCTACATCTCCTGTGGGTTTTTTTTTTTTTTTGGTTTTTTGTGGTTTTTTGTTTGGTTGATTTTTTTATTTATTTTTGTTTGTTTTTGGCTTTTTTTTTTTAAATGCAGTGATTTCACCTGCCAAATACTGTAAAGGTTTGTTACCTAAGAAGTGGCTTTTTTACAGCCAATGACACACTGAAAAAATAAACACTTCACACTTTTGCAAAACTGGTTTTACAAGGAAATTGCACCTGTTCAAAATAACGTACAGAAGTGGAAAACACATTAATGGGCACAGTGATAGGTAGGTGGGACACTTCTGCTGGAACTGGTGCTCTAGACCAAGCTGCCCACAGACAATAAAACAGGGTAATTATATCACTAATTTAATATTGGGAACATATTGCCTGACTAGGAAAGAGCAAGACCTTGATGAGACAAACCCTAATGAGATTTGAGCATATCAAGAGACTCTCCCACCTGTAGAAAACATCCAGAATTCTCCAGGAAACTCCTTAAGCCCCAATACCTGGTACCACCAGTACACTGAGGCCACCTCACTGGGTGAGACCCAGCAAGAGAAGCCTGAGGAGTGGCACTGCCAGGCTTCCCTTTGTGGCACTGCAGCCCCAGGGTGGCAGTGACAACGTGGATTTGATGTGCTGCTCACGTCCCCTCCGTGCAGTGCAAACCTCAGCCAGAATACTGTCCATGGAACGTTCACTGCTGAATTAATTGCCCAATTCATTGCCCAGTTGTCCTGAATTAATTGCACCAATTAATAAATTGCTACTGGAACTGGCAGCGCTAAGGATGCCACTTGAGTCTGCCTGTTCAGTTAATCACCATTTCACAGGTAGCTGCAGCATCACAGACCTGTGGAGTCACTCAGGTTGGAAAATCCCTCTGAGATCACCCAGTCCAACCACTCCCAGCAGTGCCAAGGTCTCCACTAACCCACGTCCCCAAGTGCCACATCTAAAGTCCTAAATCCCTGCAGGGATGGGGATGCCAGCACTTCCCTGGGCAGCTGTGCCAGGGCTGGACAGCCCTATTGGTACAAGAATATTTCCTAATTAAAACACTCCCTGCTACCATCCCTGCAGTGTGAATTCCAAATAAATGGGAGGGAGAAGTGAGAGGAGATACTTTGTGTGGTGCCTACTGCCCTTAGGACAGCCTGAGCAGAAGGAACCCACAAGAGCAGAACCAGCTACAGAACTTAATATTTACAATGGCTTCTTCAGAGACTTCTAGAACCAATTAGAAAATAATTCCACCCAGCTAATCCAACCGTGGTGTCCTTGTCCCTGGAGCTGCAGACATATCTAAAGCCAACACACAGCAGATGCTGGCAGAAAATACCAGGGAGGAGTTTCTGAGTTTCTGTTTCATCTCCTGCTCCAAGCTGGGGCTCCCAAAGGTGTTTCCACCCAGCACAGACCCAGACATGGAGCATCTCTTTGGTGGGTGAGCTCCTGCCCCCTCCCAAATAACCAAACCCTGCACTCCTTGCTGGCTGTGCCTGAACTGGTGCTGAAAGGAGGGTTTCAAACACAGCCCCCAAACCCTGGCACCAGCAGGGATGGGTTTTCTGTGTGACAGGGGCTGTGTTCCTCCCTGCTGCAACATCCCAGGATCACTGAGGTTGGAAAATCCCTCCCAGTCCAAGCTGTGCTCAATGGCCACCCTGTCCCAAGAGCACTGAGTGCCACAGGAAAAATCAGGATCTTTAAAAGAAAAACCTGCACTGCAAGAAGGGACGTGCTGAAGATGATAGAGTGATCACACCTGCAGGAGACCCCCACCCCGACCCTGCAGGTTTCCAATCTCACCCACCTGTACAGGACTGCAAATTGTGCTCAGGGATGATTTACAGCCCTCACAACCCCCCAAACACACAGTGAGAATCAAGGGAGCATTACAAACCTGTGTCAGCTCTACTTTGCAAAAGTACATTTTGGAGTTGTATTTGCTCAAGAAGTTTTATTGTTTTACCAGCACAGAGTTACAAATCAAAAGGCTTCTCACCCACCCAAAGCTCAGCAAATCAACACTGTAAAAGCTGAGGGTAAAAAAAAAAAAAATCAAGTCAGACTACTTTTTATGTGTACCAACGAGTCTGTTTTCTGAGATTTTGGTAAAGATTTCAGTAGTGAAGATTCTTTTGATTCCTTCTGTCCCTCCTTCAGGACTTGCAGGCAGCTCACTCAAACCTGGGAATTTTCTTAAATGTGCCAAGACAAACCCCAGACAGCAGGGAAATGTTCTAAGTAAAAACCTTTTTGGCTCCAGAACTCTGAGCACATACTGGCTCTTTGTGCTGACTTGCATGACAGCTTTCTCTCCATGCCATGAAAAGGACCTTTCAGCACACAGACCCTGCCCCTTGCCACGTCAGGACAGTAGGAAATGACACAATTTCCAACCCTCATTTCACCCTTTTCTGCCTCAAAGCACTGCCCTGTATTAATTTTGTAACTGTTAGCCCAGGCTTGTCTAATAAAACTGGATTTCATTCTTACACATTTAAAAAAAAACCTGAGAAAACATCTTTGGTTCATGGTTTGGACACTAAAGAACATTCTGTACATTTAACTTGAAAAAGGAGCTGCTGTGGTTTTTATTCTGAAAGCTGCTATTTACACACAACCTAGAATTCACTTTTATCACTCCTTTTGGCCTTTCAGGGGGTGTCTCACTGCCACAAACTTCACTTAAGATAAAAAAAATCTACAAGACAGAACTGAGGAAATTTCCAGTATCTGTTATCAGCTGACTGCCATAGAATTAAGATACAGGGAGGGCCTGCAGTCTCTAAAAACCATCAGACCTCCAGACTATTTCTGGAGCCCATCTGGGCCCTTCTTTCTGATCCCATGATGTGGCAGCATCTGCCTGGCTTCTGTTTTTGGGGGAGCACTACCTGCAGCCCAGGGCTGGCTTGGACTTCATTCATCTGCAGCACATCAGAGTCACCTTGAGAGTAAGAGAAAAATGGATTGTGAAGCTCACTCACCTGCTGAAAGAACTACCACAAGTTGAAATTTCAGATGTGAGCGTTTCAGAGTAGAAACTAAATCAAAAGTATTCTTTCTACAACACCCACCTCAGTTTTCCTTATTTTTCTACATTTAAATTATCACTGTATGTGGTCACCCTCCACCCTCATGTACCCCTTTCTAGACAGGAGAATTTACATGCACTAAAAACTAAAATCCATAATCTAAAAAGACATGAGGAATTTCTGGAGAATTGTAAAGAAGAAGCAGGTGAATCAGAAATCCAAGTTCCACACAAACTGAACCACACCTGGGCCCTTAGAAAATGTGCCCCCTAAAAATATAACAGGAAAGAATATCACAGCATTTTGACAACTAAATCTTTGACCTTTCTCTTGTTGGACAACGACCTTTTTCAAATAAAGACTTTACTGTTGTGGAGCAACAAGGAAATTCAATATTACCATGATAACACCCAGATAAGCACTGGAACAACACTGCCTGCACCTTGGAATTTGACAGAATCCTTCATATCCTCCAGCAAAACAGTCAAGCCACAAACATTTATTTCCACAAAGGACTGAAAATAGCATGAATAATGAAAACCACGTTTAAGGAACACATGTGGAAACTGAGCTGCCTGACTTCTGGCACAGGAACCAGCAGCCATCCACTCATGTGGGGAAAACCTGCAAAGCTGGACAATAAAATCTCGCTTTTGTGCAATATGGGATGTGCTCCTATGCTAAATATGGGATCTCCTCACTTCTCCCGAGCAGCAGCAGTGTCCTGCATTTTTGGGGAATGTCGCACGGATCTGGCTCCCTGCTGGCAGCCAAATATTCCAGGGAATTGTGTCACCTCCCAAGGGCAGCGGAGCGTGCTGGCTGCCCTGCCCGAGGCAGATCCCTCCATTCATCCCGCCCGGATTTCTCAGGGAGACTTTGCCAAGGCTTGCAGCAAGTTATTCCTGTGTTAGGGCGCTTCTCCCAGCCTCTCTGTTAGCAGGGGGAGGTGGAGGTGGGCACTGAGGATGGGCACAAAGGGATGATTTCCTCAGGCAGCAGCTGCCAGCTCAGCCCGGGGCATCCCAAGTGCCCGGGCTGCATCCACAGGGCTGGCAGAGATCCCAATGGGAGCCCGCCGGGACTGCGCTGGGTAATGCAATTGCGTTTTAATTAGTAAAACGCGATACAATTAACAAAAGCCTGCAAGAAGAACCCCGCAGACGGTGCACCCCCTGAAAGCGCGGGGTGCGCTGAGCCGAGCCAGCATTTCGGGCAGAGCAGAAAGGAAGCGAGAGCAACAATCGGCAGCAGCTCAGCTTGGAACGGCACGGTCCCTGCCAGCCCCGGTCGTTCCTGGCAGCCTCCTCACGGCTCCCGTGTGCGCTCTCCTCTCGTCCCGCCGTGCCGGGGCTGCGAGCGGCGCCCGGAGCGGCCGAGCCGGGCCCGCTGCGCCCCGCGCCCGCCCGGCCCCTCCCGGTACTCACCGCCCGCGGCTCCCGGGACCTGCGGCGGCCGCGACCGCCCGGCACGCGGAGGGACCGACACACGGACAGAGTTATAGACGGACAGACAGAGTTACAGACGGAGGGACCGACACACGGACAGAGTTACAGATGGAGGGACCGACACACGGACAGACAGAGTTACAGACGGAGGGACAGACTTACAGACGGGGGGACAGACTTACAGACGGAGGCACCGACACACGGACAGACAGAGTTACAGATGGAGGGACAGACTTACAGACGGACGGACAGAGTTACAGATGGAGGGACAGACTTACAGACGGGGGGAACAGAGTTACAGACGGAGGGACAGACGGACGGACAGAGTTACAGATGGAGGGACAGACTTACAGACGAAGGGACAGACAGAGTTACAGACAAAGGGACAGAGTTACAGACAAAGGGACAGAGTTACAGATGGAGGAACAGACTTACAGACGGGGGGACATAGTTACAGATGGAGGGACAGACTTACAGACGAAGGGACGGACAGACGGACAGAGTTAGAGACAAAGGGACAGAGTTACAGACGGAGGGACAGAGTTACGGATGGAGGAACAGACGGACGGACAGAGTTACAGAAGGAGGCACAGACAGAGTTACAGACGGAGGCACAGACACACGGACAGGCAGAGTTACAGATGGAGGGACAGACGGACGGACAGACCGAGGGACAGAGTTACAGACGGAGGGACAGACGGCCAGACAGAGTTACAGATGGAGGCACAGAGTTACAGACAGAGGGACAGACAGAGTTACAGACGGAGGCACAGACACTCGGACAGGCAGAGTTACGGAGGGACAGACAGAGGCACAGACGGAGGCACAGACACACGGACAGGCAGGCTCACGGAGGGACAGACGGACCGCCGGAGCCGCGGCGGGTCCCGGCAGCGCCGCCCCGTGCGGGCAGGGCCGGGCCGGGCCGAGCCGCGCCCCTTCCATCCCCCTGGCCCCGGGGCGCTTCCCCGGGGATCCCGCGGGGGCAGCCGGGAAAAGGCTGCTCCTCCTGCTCCTTTACTTTGCACTCAGACCTTTTAAATTGAAAGTATAGGGTTGGTAATGGCAGGTGAAGTGATAATGGCAGGTGAAGCGAGATGAAACCTTGTGCAGGTGAGGAACCGTGGCGCTCTCTGGTGCCTTTTTGCTCTGGGATACCGCTGGGATTCATCAAACAGCTGGGAAGGATTGAAGGATCCTTGGCAATGTGGGTATTAAAAATGCCAGGTTTCTGTTAAGGTCTCTGGGCTGCAGGTTCAAGGTCGGAGGGGCCATGCCCAGCCCTGGCTGCCTTCCCTTTCCCGGTCACACAGAAAAGCAGACGTTTCATCTGAAGTCAAACATTGCCCAATATTTGCGTTCCAGGTGGAACCTCAAATGCAAACTGTCACAAACCCCCATCAATACACAGCTGGAGCAAATGAAGCCAACTGCAAGTCTGCAGAATTCATGCTCTTGTCTTTCAGTGTTAAGCAAATGCTGTAAATCTTCCTGTAGAAATACTGAATATTTCCATAGAAAACATTTCCCTTCTCCATGAGGGTTTATTAGATGTCATGGTAACCAGAACAGGCAATTGCTATGGAAATAGAAGAGCTCCTTCCTTCTCCCCTGTCCATTGTCAAAAACATCAGTGACCGACTTCCCAATCCCTTTAGGGACCTCCAGAGAAGTTTCAATTGAGTTTGAAGTATATGGTGACTCCAAGACAACCAGAGCAAAACCTTGGGAGGAGAGACATCTATGACAAAAGCATTCAAAGCATTGTGCAGGGACTCTGCAGAATCCTAATTAGAAATGACAAACCCAAGCAACGAGTGTTCCAGCATTTTCATTCTTGTTCTAGAAGCACAGGCTGTGGAAAACTTGGATCATCCAATACATCACATCTTCATGGAAGAAACAGGGAAATAATATCTTCTTGGAACATGATATAAAAAGAAAAAAAACCCCAAACATTATATTTCTGAAGCTAAAAAAAAAAAAAAAATAGTCTTTTTTTCTTCTTACTTTTAGACTGATTTTGTCTAAAGTGGGTGGAAAAAATCCAATCAATTATTTAAGGTAATTAAATAATTTCACTTCCAACTGCTTTCCTCTTCTTGAGGTATATTAAGCTTTATTGTTAATATATTTCTGTGCTGAGGAAACCTTTGGCCTTGGAGAAATGAGCCTTTGGGTTCCTCATGCTCCAGAATCTCCTGCCAAGGAGCTGGGGTTAGCTGACACACAAATGCCAGCATGTGCCACCTGCCCATCCCACTCAGCCTGCCTGGCAAACCTGCTGCTTCTCCAGATCACCACATCACCTCTGGGCTATCAAATCTCCACAGGCCAGTTGGTCAGACTGCAAAATGATCCTGGAAATGCTTTGTTCCCCCGAGCAGATACTCCTGGGCAGCCCTGGGAGCCCTCCCTCCTTGCCTTTTGTCCAGCCCCACGGTGCCCTGGTGCCACCTGGCACATTGCTCTGCCTGTGGTGCTGTTATCAGCCCTCTGGCCATAAACCCCACAGGCAGTGCCTCTCCCTGGCTCTTCCCAGTCTTTCCCAGGCTCCCAGCTCCACGTTATCACTCAGCAGATAAAGGCAGCCTGGGATTTCCCCCAGCTCTCAGCTGCTTTGTGCCACCTGGCTCCCAGCCTTGTGTGTAAGGAGCCTCCTGCCTTCAGTCCCGTGCCCTGGTTCTGCTGGTACAGCTCCGTGGGAGGAAGGCTGAGTTATGCTGAAAGTGGTTAAAAATCAGTTATTCACTCTCCTTGCCCTTCCCTCCCTCTGCAGCTCACACTGCACTGAGATTCAGGCCTGAATTTGCACATTCTTGCATGAAGTTTGGAGATGGAGAAGATGGAACTGCCTGGTTCCCCCCTGTGAGTTCTATCAGAGCTGGGACAAACCTTCCTCCCCACCCTGACCTGATGGGCTTGGGAGGCCCTAATTAATGTCACACACACAGAGGTCTACGTGTGGCAGGTCTGACTTAGAAAACTCATCAGACTAAGTAACAGGAAGAGGCCCATCCTAATGCTTGAAATGCATTTAATTTAATTCAGTCACATCATCCAGTTCTTGGCAAAATCAAAAAAGAAGAGCTAAAATGAGCGGCTTTTAAAAGCTTCCATCAAGGATGAGACAAATGCCAAGTAAAAATTGAGTGCTTGGAGGTGAGAGGGCGTAATACAAAAGGAAAGATGCAATGAATCAGAGTTCTCAGGTGATCAAAATACTTAAGCCATAAAGATATCAAAAAGAAATAAGTTCTGTCCTTATCTCAGGACTGTGCATGTCACAATTACACTGCAATCAAGAAAAAGTGTTCTGCACTAACATCTGTGCAGAATTGCTGCACTTTCACTGTGTGTCACAGTCCAATGTTGTCACCTAAAATCTAGAAATAATTAGCTGATAAAATTTTCAGTGTTGATGTGTGTTAGAAGGCTTAATCAAATAATTGCTGGATTCTGTGTGTTTTCTCATGCTGCTTTCAACCAGTCTTTCAGGTCTTTGCTTCCTCAAGGCTAAATCATGGAACATTAAAACAAGTCACAAATTCCGATGAGTCTCTTTGCAAACAAGCAAACGTATGGGGGAATTAAACTGCACCATCAACTCAGAAATCTAGCACCCAACTCAGAATTTCCACTTTCCTAGATTCTCATTTTCACCCAAAAGCTTTGCGAGCCTGCAGCAGGATTACAAACCCCAGGTTTGAGTGAGGGCTGCTGCCTGCAGGGGTTTGCAGCACTGCAGGACTCTGCAGCAGCAGCAGCAGCAGCACTGACCTGCACTGGCTGCTCCCAGCTCCTTCAGATGCAGCCAGAGAGAAGCCCGGGTCAGGGAAGTGCTGAAGGACAAGGCTCAATTCTTTTGCCTCATCTGAGTGGCTGAGAGCAGGAAGGAATATTTGCAAAGTCACCTTGAGCAACCGCTGAGCTCCCGAAATTTGGCCACGCACTTTCTGTTATGCTGACAATTGATGGGTGCAGCAGAGCCAGGGCTGAGCACGCAGCACAGCTGGGAAAATCCATTTAAACCAGGAAGAGAGATGTTACCCTCAATCTGAGATGGGCTGCTGCGTTGTCTCGGTTTGAAAAGACAGGAGTCTGTGAAAGAAGGCAAAAGCCTCCTGTGAAATGGAAAAGGTAAACCCCATCCCTCCCAGTTACCACAATTTTAAAAAAGGCTCTCAGGCAAAGATATGGGAATGGGAATAACAGTTTTTTACTAGGAAAAAAACAAAATAAAAATGAAAAAAAAAAAGTAATTAGTGCAAACAAAACTAGTGATAGAGTCAGAAACCTGACACCCTGAGGAGTCAGGGTGTTGGGAACAGTCCAGTTAAATGGTGTCTGCTCCTCCTGGAGTGGCAGATGAAATGCTGCTGGAGCAGGGATCTGGAGAAGGGTGGAGTTTTCTCTGAAGCTCTGGTGATGGAGTAGATGGGCCTGGTCTTCCTCTGGGGATCCAGCAGAGAAGAAGGCTGCTCCTTTGGGAGTCCAGCAAAGGGCTGTTCTGATGTCCCAAAAAATGCTGATTTTATGCAGGTAGGAATGCTTGGCTCCTCCCTCTGGGCGGAGCATCTCACCATGGGCTGATGGAACTTTCCCAGCCATGCCGTGAGTCATTAATGGCCATTAACAGAAAAGATCTCCCCGGAGGGAGACATTGTTCTTGGAAGAGATAAGAAAACTGCTCAAACTCCAACAGATGGCAATAGAATACATGCTTATTTTACAAGCCAGGACATGTGTTTATTTTTAATCCCTGAAATCAGGTGTGTGTTGATTATCACATGTGGCAGAACAGAGCTGTAGCCACAAGTCCTGTAAAAGCACAGAGAACTTCAGCCTTGATTTTTTGGGAGTCTACCCACAAAAAATGCTCTCAACAACTAATTCCTGGTGATGGTATGAAACCCTCCAGCCTTGCTTACGTGTACCTAGAGCCATTTATTTGGTTCTTCAGCCACATAGTGACAACAGAGTCACCACAAATCATCGTGCAAAAATAATCAGACCCATGAGATAATACAGCCCACAGTTTGCAATGCAGCAGCAGTTGGAGATTTTATTATGTTCATGTTAATTCTTAGTACTTACAGAAAAATTGTCCTATGTTAAAGAATTTATTTGAATTCAAGGTGGGAGGGGAGATTGAAACACGTGGCAGGTTCTCATTACTAGAGGTAGTTTTGGATAATATTTAGGTTTTTCTTTCCATCTCAGTTCTGACATCTGTTTTTCACATCTCCCTTACATCTGGGCCTAACAGAATCAAAATTCTCAAATATGTATGTATGTTGCTCCTTCTCAACAATGCTTTCCTGCAGTAGGAATAAAGAAGATGAAAAAGTTTCACTTACTGTAAAATAAAGTAATATTTTATAACATATTTGACAAGCTGCTTCCAAGTAGAACATTGCCTTGTCTCAGAAAAAAATATTTCTTTTTCTCCAATGAAAATAATACCCGAGATGTGATTTAAACATGCAGAAAATTCAGGGAGTGTTCAACATATAGGTATGAGTTTGGGGAAATGTACTGGATATGTAAAAGCTACATAGATTTAAGCTACTCTGTTAGCAAAGTGTGGCATATGCAATAGGGAATAATTCTCCACTCCAGAAATTTAGAGGAGCAGGCCCAGCTTCATTTTTCACCCACTCCGTCTGGAGTTTCTTCAGGAGGGTCCTGTGGCAGTGGCACCTCTGGATGTCAGAGTGCTGAGCCCAGGTTTTCCCTGCATGACTTAAACTGGGAGAAGCCACACTTAAAACAGCAACACTCAGCAATATTCCCAGGCAGTAGCTGCATCCCTGGCAGCTGGGAGCCTCTGCCACCCTCCTGGCCCTGGCACAGCCCCACTGCCAGCCAGGCAGAACAAAACCTAAAGGTAATAAGATATATTATGATTAACAGATAATTGTGGAGATTTGGAGTCTGCCTCTGTCCTGACTTGAGGCTCACTGCAGCGAGGGCTGAAGCACCATGCAGAGAGCAGTACCCAGGGAACCCTAATTTCACCAGTTCAGTCAGACAAGTGTCCACTGTGCACAGCCCTGGGACTGTAGGCTGAGCTTACAAAGCATTGCTAAGAAGTTACAGTGGGTTTAGTGCCAGCCAAATGCCAGTGCATCCACTAGAATTATTTATTCATTTTCTACTTCCAGGTAACAATTATGAGGAGAGCAAAGCAGGCTCAAAACTTTTAAGGGTATAAAGAAAACTTTATTAACAGAACTAATAAAACCAAGAAAGAATCAGAATAAACCTTCAGAACACTTCTCCTCCTCCACTGTTCTTTTCTTTCCCACTGACAACGTAAAGAGACACAGCCTGGAACTTTCAGTCAGTTTACCACCTCTAAAATAGTCTTTTTTCAGTTCACTTTGGTACAGTCTCTCTTGCCATGCCATGGAGACTTTTCCACAAGAAACAGTTCTCTTGTCGTTTAATTTTCACAAATAGCAACCACCTGGAAACCTGCAGTTATGAAGTCCCTCCTTTTGGTTATGCAGTCTTTCCACAACTACCAACATGGGCCATTTCAGCTCATTGGGGTGAAATTTTAAGGATGAGCTGTTCTAGTATAGAAACAAAAGTTCTCTTATCTCTGGAAACAGAGGTTTTCTTCTCCTATCCCTGGGGCAAGGTTTCTCATCTCTCTTTGCTCAAGCTTCTCATTGGATCACAGCTACTCCAACATCTGCTTGCTTCAGCACGGGTGCCTCTGCTCACAGCTGTGGTTAGAACACTACATCTCCCCAATGCATTCCATGAGTTACAGGGGGGAAAAAAGCCTGATGTATCAATTATACCTTCACCATAGCCTTACAAGAGAATTTCAGCCCAAGATTAAGGCATCTCCTCCACCTCCTCCCATCTGGGATTTGACGCCTTCTTCACTGAGCTTGTTGTCTCCATGTTTTTGTCTCTACGTGTCTCCACCCTTTTCTTTTTCTGGTTTGGGAGGGAAGAGGTGTTTGTAGGTTTGTTTGTTCTCAAGCTTTATCAATTAAAACAAGTTTTATAGAGTTCTGCAGGACTGAAAGGTTGATCTCATTGGGGGGAATAGCCGTGTCTCTTGCTGCCGGCACCACGCAAGCCATGCTGGCTGCTGGCTCCAGTCTGTGCCTTTTCTCCATGAGGGGTGCTGAAAAAAGAAAAGCTGCGACCACCACGTTGGTCCAGCCCAGAGAACTGCTGGCTAACGCCGCCTAAACAGACGTCCTTGGGCACGCGGGCCGAGATGACCCTGCGGCACTGACCACTCGTGCCGATCTTGGCCGGGCAGTCCTGCCCCGACCCCCACGATCCTGGCCACGCCATCTTGGCCACCTGACGGCCATGACGCGGGGATGACGACGGTGCCACTGGCTCTTATGGCTTGTACCAGCTCCTCTCGCAAGGTCTCGGAGTCAGGGTTCAGCAGCCCTGGCTGGAAATCAGCGGAGGGGGAAATCCCAACAAAGCCGTGCGACACGGCGCGCGGCATCTCAAGGCCTGGCCCGGCCAGCGGCTGGGGACCTGTTCAAATGCCAGAAGCAAGAGAGTTTCTTTGGGGCTGGTTAGTCTTTAAATGGGATTTCAGAGAGGCATAATCAGCTCCCTTAAGTGGTTTAACTGGGTGTCCATATTCAAAATTAGCCAGCTGATTGGTTTTGTTAGGGCCGAAGGAAGCTGCCAAGGTCCCATAGGGAAGCATTTGTGCAGCTTGTGGATTCCCTCCCCAATTAACAGCCAAACTACATTAAACCACGACAGGACTGTAAGTATTTACACAGAAAGGGCAGATTATTTATGTCCTAAGCAACCTCCACCCTACTGCTGCTGGGATAAGTTCTCAACTTTCCCCTTGAATCAAAGGGATACTACAGGATTATTCCTATTATCTTCTCTTAATGCTCCCAGAAAACTCCTGGCACTTCCCAGCCCCTTCATCCCTAGCCTGCTTTAGCGAGGAGTATTCAAGGCATGCCCCAAAGCCCTGAATCCAGGACCAGCTCCCACTGCTGCACACACATGTGCAAATGAGCATACAGTGTGAGCAATTAGCACTTCTAGAGGTACTCGCTGTACTTGGTGCCTCATTTTAGTCCTTTTTTACACATTTTACTGACTTTCCCATCTTGCCTTCATGGTGAAATGAGCACTTACCAGTAGGTGCTGCTCCATATCCTGAAGGTGATGGCTGCTTAAAGGAGACCTCCATGTTTGACAGGAATTGTTGGAAAAGTCTCAGAACAGCATCTATTGTTGGTTTATCCAAAGTAATGAGTGGCTTTGGCACCATCACACCATCCATGCTAGGAAGTGGCCTGCATTTCCTAAAACATGCAGAAGGAATCACAGAACCACAGAGGTGGGAAAAGACCTCCAAGGCCATCGAGTCCGAGCTGTGACCAATGCCCACCTTGTCCCCAGCCCAGAGAAACAAGTGTCACCTCCAGGCCTTTCTTGGACACCCCAGGGATAGGGATCCAAAACTCCCTGGGCAGTTCCAAGGCCTGAGCACCATTTCCATGGGGAAATTCCTGCTGATGTCCACCCTGAGGCTGCCCTGGCCCAGCCTGAGGCCGTTCCCTCTCCTCCTGTCCGTGTTCCTGGGAACAGTAGCCCGACCCCCCTGGCTGTCCCCTCCTGGCAGGAGCTGTGCAGAGCCACAAGGTCCCCCCTGAGCCTCCTTTGCTCCAGGCTGAGCCCCTTTCCAGCCCTCTCAGCTGTACCAGCCCCTCCTCAGCTCCATTCCCTTCCCTGGGCACGCTCCAGCCCCTCCACATCTCTCTTCCTCTGAGGGGACCAGAACTGAACACAGCTCTCTTGCTGTGCCCTCAGCAGTGCCAGCACAGGGTACAGTCACTGGCCACACTATTGCTGAGCCAGGCCAGGTGCCAGTGCCCTCTGCCCACCTGGGCACACCTGAGCTCACGTTCAGCCAACGCTGAACGGCATTCCCAGTTGCTTTCCTGCCAGGCAGCTTTGCAGTCACTGCTGCCCATCCTGGAACTGCATGAGGCTGTTGTGAGCACAGTGCAGGACCTGGCACTTTGCCTCACTGATCCTGCCAGTGCTGCCCGTGGCTCCAGCCTGTCCTGAGCCCTGTGCAGAGCTCCCTCCCGTCCAGCACAGCCACACTCCTGCCGGCCTCGCTGCTGCCTGCGGCTCGCTGACCGCGCGCTCCGTGCCCTCGTCCACACCGGCAGGACAGACATCCAACCTCGGCAACACTTACCTGCCTTCCAGTGCTGAAAAAGCCTGGAAAGACATTTTGGAAGCAGAATTAGCACAGGGCAGGCCAGCCCTGGAGCTGTGTGTCTCTGCGAAGGGGGATGCTGGTAGGTACCTTGGTGAAAAGAAGGGTGTCCTTCTGATTTCTCAGAGCCTCCAGCTCCTGAACATCCTGGCTGGCCAAATCCTTCATGCTCTTGTGATTATCCATCACAGACTGAATCTTGGAAAGCTGTTCCTCCTTGTAGTCACTGAGAACTTTCAGGACTTCCCCTTTTTTCTTCTCTAGCTCCGTATACATCTTCCTGAACAGGCTCTCCAGCTGTTCCCTCCGCTGGCTCACATCAGTCTATTAGGAAAACAATTTCAAATTTGTAAGGGACATTTTCCACATCAGCTCTCCCTCACATAAAAATCTGTCTTTTTTCTGGGATGAAAGAAGTAACTAAATGTTGAAGGTTGGAAAAATAAAAACCACACCCCAGCCACTCAACAGGAGGCACAGACTTTCAAGCTAACTGAGAATGGACCTCCCAGACAGGTAAAGAAGTTATGCATCATCCTTCCCCAAAGAAGAAACCTCAAAAATACACGAGAAACCACCCAGCAACTAAAAAACCTTCAGAATCCATGATCAGGGGAAGGGCAAATGAAAACTCTGTCTCATCATTTACCAGCAAGCAACCACCCCAAGGTGACAGGGGAGCTTGAAACAAACCTTTAGTCCCTCCTTTTGTTTCAGCAGGTTTGCTATGGCTTTATCCACTGCAGCTTCATGGTTTTTCAGTGTTTCCAGAGTCCCAGGAAAAGCTGCCTACAAAGAGCACCAGAAGGAGATATGAGGATAGGACTGGCAGAATGCACGGGACCAGCAGTTTTATCCACAGGGGTTAAGCTAGACTTGCTAAGGGTTTGCTCATTGCATGCTCTCAGGACAAATCAGTAGATAAAGGTTCACTGGAAGGTTTTATCCCTGAAGAAAGACCACAATTACAAGGAAAAAGACAACAATTTCAGGCTGAAAACTGTTCATGTGCACGACCACCTATAAAGCTATTTCCCTGTTGGCACCTTTCTTTCTGTTACTCTGTCATTAATTATCTTTGCATAAGTGCAGCTCAGGCACATCTCTGCCTTGGAGGTGCAGCAAGGACTAAAACCTTACATGAGCACTCAGTCCCACCAGTTTGGCCAAACTCTTCCCACAGGAGGGGGAAAAAAAGCATTTATAACATCTTGTTTTATATCTCAAGGGCTAAACCCAGAGAGAATGTGGGACAAAACTAAGGATGAAAGCCCAGGACTGCAATATAGCCCCATGCTGGGAATGCCCTGTGCCAGGGGCAGCTCTCTGGGCTTTCCCTGGTGCAATCCATGCCAGTCCCCCCGCCCCAGCCGCCTCTTACCTGGGCTGCCCTGAAAGCCTCCTCCAAGCCGACGATCTTGTGGTTTTTGTGGGAGATGACGGAGCAGAGGACGCAGATGCACTCCCGGTCATCCTCACAGAAGCACTCCAGCAATTTGCCGTGCTGGGGGCATCTCCTCTCAGCCAAAAGCTGCTCATGGCAGGGCTCCACCAGCACATGGCCCTTCTGGTCGTTCTTGCTGTTGTGCCTGCTCAGGTGCGCTTGGCACAGCGAGGCTTCGCAGCTCAGGCACGTCTTCACTGCGGGCTGGGGGTCCTGGAGGCAGAAATCACACTGGACCTCCTTCTCCTTGCCTTGCCCTTCCTGCTGTTCCTCCTCGTGGTGCGCGGGAGCCTCCATGAACCTCTGCACGATGCTGCGGAGGTGGAAGTTGGGCCGCAGCTCCTGCGCGGGCGAGTGGCAGAGCGGGCAGCGGGCCGGGCTCTGCTGGGCTCGCAGCGCCTGCTTGAGGCAGTCCCTGCAGAAGCTGTGGCTGCAGCCCACGGCCACGGGCTCCTTGTAGACCTCCAGGCAGATGGGACAGGTCAGCTCTTCCTTCAGCCCGGCCATAGCCCGCGCCTGGGCCATGGCGCTGCAGCTGCGGGCAGGGCTGCGATCAGAGTTCTACTGGGAAGCGAAACCGAAGGCAGTGACGAGGATAGCCCGTGGGCTAAAAGCTGCTGTTTCCTCTCTTTTGCAAGGGAGTGTCATCCTTCCCCTCCCTCCAGCTTCCTTCTTCTCAGGGCCATCTGCCTAGGAGCGTTGGCTGTCTCAGTGTTGATAAAAAAAGTGTCTATAAGTTGTGTTTATTTAAATCTTTTGGAAGTCCTTTTGGTTTACCGGACAGGGCTCTGTCCTGTGTGCCTTGGGTTATCTCAGCCATAAAGACTGAGCAATACTCGTAAAACTAGTATCTTGGTCAGAAACTAATATCTTGGTCAGACCACAGTGTGAAAAACATGTTCACTCTCCTGTGAAAATTTAAAAAGTTTAATAAAGTACAATAGGAGACTAAGACAGTAAAGCAAAGCGTGGGTGCGTCTTGGCACTCAGTCAAGAGCACACCTTTACATTCGGGCATGCCCCTTAAATACCTTTTCCATTACATCAGCTTGTTGCATACTCATAGATCCTTATATATATTCATATTTCCCGTACACTAGTTCACATATTCCAGGAACTATTTTGCATGGCCCCTCCTTGGGTCTGCTTTTTTAGAGCATGTGTGTTTCCTGGCTGTGGTTTTGGCTTCTTCTCCTTATCACTTCCAGTCTGGGCCTTGGCACATACTTCTTTCAAATGGCAGATGCTGATAGTTGGCATATCAATAGCAGGATCCTCATTACATGTTCACTGGATGTTATCCCAACCCTACAGACAGTTCACTCATAACTGTATCAGCTACCACTACTACTGTGTCTAAGTTTTTTGTTAATAGCAGAAATAAAAGCAAAGTTATTTTAACATTATACATATAGCATTCATCTTAATATTTTTGTAAAGCCAAGAATAAAAAATGTATTTATCACAACAGCGATGGGATGCATTCAAAGAGAAGAAGCATTTTTGGTCTGTGACCAAAAAATAGTTGGAGAAATGGGATTTTCCCCAAACAACTACCCAAGACCCTCATAAGAACTCCTCTCCAATGCAAATAAACTCTGAGAAGTGATTTAAACATGCAAAAAATTCAGGGAATGTTTAGCATATAGGTATGAGTCTGGGGAAATGTATTGGATATGTAAAAGCTACATAGATGTAAGCTGGTCTGTGAGCATGGTGTGGTGCGTGTAATAGGGAATTATGCCCCACGTGCCTAGGGCTGAAATAAAACATTGCCACTTTCTAATCTTGAAATTATAGTGTTAGAGAGTTTAATTCCCCATTTTCAGAGACAGCAGGACAAAGTCCCTGCAGCAGCTCGAGGCTGAGAGCTTGGACACTTCAGGGGCAACATGGCACAAGGTCCAGCCCTGCTGTGATGGGTCAGGAGATGAGGCAGGAAGGAAAGCTGGGAAGAATCCTTTTGGGCAGGGAGGCTGGCACAGCTGGACCAGCAGCCAGAGGGCAAAGCAACCAAAGCTGTTCCTCTCTGCAAAGACACCTGGAAATGGAGCTGGACAACAGCCTGGGACTGATAAATGCTGAGTGGGCATTGTGTGGGTTACCTAAGTGCAGCCTCCAGAGCCCTGGGCAGACCTTGTGTGGCACAAAGCTGAGGTCCCTGTCATACTGCTCCTGTGCCAGCAGAGCCCAGGGCAGGATTTGGTGTCAGGTGCCACTGCTCAGGGCACAGGTGGGAGCTGAGACTCCAAAAAGCAGCCCAGGACAGCTCAGCAGGCAGTGAAATGAAGTCCACACAGTGGGCATTCCACACAGGTCAGGAGCACAGCCTGGGGTGGGCTGCCCACACTGCCAGGTGCCAGCCAGCCCAAGGCAGTGACCAAAGCTGTCCCTGTTCATAAAAGCTCCTGAGTGACTGATTTTCTCCCCACCACGAGGCACACCGTGCAGGGACATAAATAACACTGCCCCCTCCCTTCCAGCAGCCACATGAGCTACTCCAAAGCAGGGCCTGTCTGTATGAAAAGGAGTTGTTTTATCACAAAGTTCTGCCAAAATAAAAACAGGACAGCTGGGTTTCTCCCCAAATGGTTGGCAGTAATTGCTGGGACCAAGGGAACTGTTGAGCTGATGTCCACATTCACCAAGAACTCCCTTCAGACAGAGTCTAGGTCTGCTTGCAGGAATTACCCTCGAGAAACAATTGTATTCATTAAACAGAGCAGTGCCTTATTTTCCAGCAGGCTGCCTGGGTGTTGGAGGCACAGGTCGGGCTGGGAGGACAAATGTCAGCTCTGGGTCTGTCCCTCCCTGCAGCCTTCACTTGTTCTCCCCCTGGGAACCCACTCCTGTGTCTCTGCTCCATGTGTGCCCACCCTGGGCACCCCATCACTGGCTGTGCCTGCTGCATTACCACATTTCCCCCCTCCAAATTAATGTTTTCATCTGTCTGGGCACTGCTGGCATCACAGTGCCTGATGTATCTCAGAAACATTCCTCTTTGGTGTCTTGAAGCCTGCTGGTTTTGGAAAGCAGCAGGGAACGGGCTTCCCATCAGCTCTGCACTCTGGCTGCAGCAGTGGCAGGGATGAGGGGCTGGCTTTGGGGTGGGAGGCAGGTTCCAGCTCTGTGCCCAGCCTGGGGGACCCACGCTGGGCTCCCACAGATGTGCTGGGGACAGGCAGGTGTAGAGCTGCTGCCTGAATCGGTGCCAGCCAGCAAAACCCAGCAGCTGGCACAGCTCAGCACCTCGCAGAGCTGCTCCTGGTGGGCTGCTGGGATCCCCCAGCCCAGCAGCTTCCCTGGCCCATGGGCTGGATAAAACCAGTGCCACCCCTCTGGCCTGGTGAGCCCTCACAGGGCATGGCTGGCACGGGGAGCTGTGCCTGCCCTGGCATTCCATACATCCCTTCCACAGCCTGGACTGCCACCAGGACCGGGGCACCAGGACACCAGGAGAGCAGGACATCAGGACAGCAGGACAGCAGGACACCAGGACAGCAGGACACCAGGGTATCAGGGTACCAGGACATCAGGACACCAGGGTATCAGGGTACCAGGACAGCAGGACACCAGGACATCAGGATACCAGGACACCAGGGCACCAGGACATCAGGACACCAGGACACCAGGACACCAGGACATCAGGACACTCCGTGCCCCTGGGAGAGCACTCTGGCTCCCAGGGCCTGCTCTCCTGGCTCCAAGGCCTCTCCAGCTGCCATCCTCAGTTTCCCAGCTGCTGCATCACCACCTGGAGTCTTTTCCACATTTTTTCTTGCTCTCTTACTCCACTCCAGAAATTTGGAGGAGCAGGCCCAGCTTCATTTTTCACCCACTCCGTCTGGAGTTTCTTCAGGAGGGTCCTGTGGCAGTGGCACCTCTGGATGTCAGAGTGCTGAGCCCAGGTTTTCCCTGCATGACTTAAACTGGGAGAAGCCACACTTAAAACAGCAACACTCAGCAATATTCCTGGGCAGGAGCTGCATCCCTGGCAGCTGGGAGCCTCTGCCACCCTCCTGGCCCTGGCACAGCCCCACTGCCAGCCAGGCAGAGCAAAACACCTCACCCCGAGCAGACTTGCACTAGAAACCGAAGTACAGCAGCACAAACTGGTTCCTTTTTTTGTTCTTTCCACTTTATAGTATATATGTTATCGTTTATTTATAGGCAGATCACTTCACTATTTACAGTACATGAGCGTAGAGATTCTACAGTCTTTTTGATGTAAACAAGAAACTCCACGGCAGGGGAGTCTGGAAAAAGAAGCCAGTTCTGAAGTATTTACACAATTTAAAATAGAACTTTTATACCCACTGGATAGATATAGAGAATACATTGAGCGATTTGGTTAAATTATCTATGAAACTATAGAATCTGACAATGTAAAAATACAAGAAAACGTTCTCTCATTTTAGAAGGTAGACAGTTAAATCACACTAGAAATAAATCTCTTTTCTTTTTTAAAAATAATAATAATAATAATAATAATAAAGGAAAGGCATACGAATCCATGCCATCTTTTAAGGTTAAAGTATATTACATAAATAAGGACACAACAGAACGGAACTGGGGGAAAAATTAAATGAAATATAAAAAAACCACTACCAATTAAAAAAAAATACTAAAAACTTGATTCTTAATCATAGAGGGATCAATTCTGCTGCTTTCACTTACTCTGCAAGTAGAAAATTGCAGGGTTAAGTTGTACTTAGCATGAGCAACAGAGGCAGAATTGGCCCCTAATAATTATGAGCAGTGTCCTTTTACTTTAAAAATAATAAAAAGAAAAACACAGAATTTAGCTTTTTAATATATAAATAACAATGCAGATGTGCCCCTTTTTAGGTGAAATTCTTACACCTGTCTGAAGAAATGCATCAATTGAACCGTTCTCTCTCTTTCTCACATGCACTCACACACTCCCTCCCCAGCTCCTGCTGCTGCCCCTGGCCCCGGGGAGGGCGAGGGAAGAGGAATGAAACCCCAAAATGAAACCCCAAAATGAAACCCCAGAATGAACCCCCAAAGCTGCATTTGGCTCTGTATTGCTTGAGATTGTCAGGGATGGACTTAGAACAGAGCGGGCGTCGGGTTCAGCTCCAACGTCGCTGCATCTCAGGACTCAGCAGACCTCCAGAAAGGAAAAAAAATCCCCCAAAAAAGGAGAAAACCGTGTTGATCTGCAATTGCAGAACTCACTGCACGGCGCAGAGCTGGGATCAGGCTCAGCACTGCAACGTGGTGACTGCGCTGCTGCTTGCTGCAGGATGTGCAGCCTTCAGGCGCTGAGGAAATGAGAGAAAGCTTTGCTTTGGGGCAGCATCCCCCCTAAAACCTGGGATTGTCCTCTGCATTCAGCCCACACACTCAGACACGTTTGCTCCTCCCCGCGGAGCCTCAGGGACACGCTGGATTCCAGCCAGAAACCTGCTGCCCCACCCTGAACACCGAGTTTTTTCCTGGGGCAAACCTGTGCAAAACAAGCAAAGGGGCATTTTATCAGAAACTCTTCACACATTCAGCATTTCCCCCACAGCACCTGCAGGAAACGGCTGGGAGACGTTCCTATACTTATACAGTTTTAAAAAAATAAATCTCCTCCTGACTTATTGCCTACCAGAATAAACCCTTTGGCTCCC